AGGGACATAATATGACTCCTTTAAGCAAATAGGTGTACAGATAGTTCAGACCAGATCTGGGAAGAATAAGCTGTATCTCTCTATCATCTATCAATGTCCCTAATTTATTATGTCAGTGATATTTCAACACATTGCTAAAGACTGGAGCACTTCATGTCTCTTTCTTTTTGTATGCTCTATACAAAAAGAAAAATTTGTGTGGCTCTTAAATTGACAAACATTTCACTTAATCATTATGCACAACCTAAATTTCAAATTTCAATTTCTGAACAGTTATATAGGCAGAGTAAAAAAAAGATAAAAGATTACTTACATATAACCAAGGAAAGATTGTGGTGGTAAACTGGCAAAGCTATCCAAAGGCAAAAAGATGTCATTCTCCATCACAGTTCTGCAGTAAAGACTGAAATCTACTTTAAGGACATTTTACCTTTACTTTTAGTACATTTTAGAATGCCAAACTTTTACTTGACCACACGCAACCACAGATAATGAATGAAAAGTCTCTGTTAATCTAACGTTACTCTGACATCTTCTGGTACTCTGACTCTTAAAAGCTAGTTAGCTAGCAGCTAATGTTACAACTGTAGACACTTAAAACAACCTGAGGTCTCTCAAATACGTTTCAGAGCTTGGAGCAAGGGTGGAGTAACAACCCGATCAGATGACTGATCACATTTTCGTTTGCCATAGTGGCGTGCAACCAGCAGAATCACTGAAAACTCAAATATGACCATATGGCCATCTGCTCTATTGCACATTAACTAATATGTGAATGTTTTTATTGGATTTTATAACACATACAGCACAAGAACATCTAGGAACTCAAGAACATCTAGAAACCCAAATGCTTTGTACACACACCATAAAATCCATAAAAAATCATAATAATGAAAATAAACAAGATTAGATTGCCCCAAAAATATTAGCGTTAATGACACTAAGAAAAATAAACAGACATTCTGACAAAAAAGAAGCAATAATAGCTTCACAAATAATGCAAATCAGCTACACAAAAACGACAAAGGTGAACAAAGAAGCAAAAAAAAAAAAAAACCCAAAAAACAATAAATTAAGAAATAGATGACTAAAAAAAAATAATAAAATAATAAATAAATTCACAGGGCCATTGAAATCATTTATTCGACAGGGAGCTTCTCAACATATAGTAGGAACGGTTGCCACAGCTTTTTGAATTTTCTTTCCGAGCCTTGAGTTATATATCTTAGTTGTTCCACTTTAAGATGAGCCACCATGTCCATCACCCACCGCCCATGAGAAGGGGGTACCGACTTTTTCCATTTAAGCAGGATAGTCCGCCGTGCCAGAAGTGTGGCGAAGGCCACTGCTGTGGCATGGGCGGCTGAAATCCTACAGTCCAGTGGCACCACACCAAATAAGGCTGTGACAGGGTTCGGTTTAATTGTTTTTTCCCACACTGCAGTGATTGTGTCAAAAACCCCCTCCCAAAAGTCTTTCAGCCTTGGACAGCCCCAAAACATATGGCTAAGGGTGCCAGGATCACATTTACACCTAGGACAGCTTTCACTGGTTCCTGGAAACATTTTGGCAAGCTTGCTATTTGATAGGTGGAGTCTGTGCAGGACTTTAAATTGGAGGAGTCCATGCCTGATACAAATAGATGAGTTATGCACCCAGTCAACTGCCCTCTTCCATTCTGTTGCAGAAAGACCAAAGCCTAGTTCTGTCTCCCACTGCTGTTTAATACGGTCTAAAGAGGGAGTTGCTGCCCCCTGCAAAAGCTCATATATAGCAGACACACATCCTCTTTTCAAAGGATCAGCTTTCAAGCATTCTTCCAACCAGCTACGCTGTAGATTTTGAAGAGAAGGAGAAAAGTGTTTTTTGATAAAGCTTCGGACCTGCAGATATCTGAAAAAATGTGATTGTGGAATATTAAGTTTTGTTTTTAATTGCTGAAATGACATGAAATTGCCTTCTTTAAAGAGATCCTTGACCAAGCCTACACCTTTTCTTGTCCAGAGCTGAAAAGTTGTGTCAATCAGAGATGGTGGGAAGAGGGCGTTTGCCGAGATGGGAGCTAGAGGGAGGCCTTGTTTGCACCCAAAATGGATTCTTAACTGTTTCCATATTTTAAGCGATCCTTGTGTCACTGGGTTGTGCCCTTGCGGACTTTTACTCACTGGCAGTGGAGCACAGATTAAGGAGCTCAGTGCTATTGGGCTGTAAGAGCGCTGTTCCATAAGTGCCCAAAGGGGCATTTGTTCTCTTTCAGGAGGCCACATCAGAATGTTCAACTTAGACGTGTTAGCTGCCCAGTAGTAATGCATGTAATTAGGCATGGCTAACCCTCCTTCCTCCTTCCACCTTTCCAAGCACTCCTTTCTGATACGTGGTATTTTCTTATTCCATATATACAACGAAGTAGCCCTATCCAGTTCTTTAAAAAAAGATTTTTCTATGAATAACGGAATAGTTTGGAAGAGAAATAAAATTTTTGGCAATATTACCATCTTTACTGAATTTATGCGTCCTGCCATTGACAGAGGAAGTGTTGACCATCGTTCCATGTCTTTTTTTGCCTGTATTAGAGCTGGTTTGAAATTATGTTTGAACAAGTCACTATAATGTTTGGTCACCGACACTCCCAAATAAGTAAATTTATCTTTAGTTAACTTAAATGGATAAGTCTCCAAATTCATTTGGCTAGCTTTATCATTGACTGGGAAGATTAGGCTTTTTGCCATGTTTATTTTGTATCCTGAAATTAATCCAAAATCATTGATGATTTTCAGAGCACTTGGGATGGCATTCCTGGGGTCAGACAAAAAAAGGAGGAGGTCATCGGAATATAACGAAAGTTTGTGTATGTGTCCTCCTCTGCTAATTCCTGTCAAAGTGTTGTTGCATCTCAGTGAAACAGCCAAGGGCTCAATGGCAACATCAAAGAGTAGAGGGGATAGGGGACACCCCTGTCTAGTTTCTCTAAATAAGGAGAAATATTTCGACATATTGTTGTTAGTCCTCGCTGCAGCCTGTGGGCAGGTGTACAACATATTCACCCAAGAGCAAAAAGAAGGTCCAAATCCAAAATTTTTGTGGGCCGAAAGCAAATATCTGTGCTCGATTCTGTCGAATGCTTTATGAGCGTCCAATGCAATAATAACCTCAGGGACATTATCATTACCTGGAAGATACATTACATTGTATATTCTGCGAAGGTTGCTGTATAGCTGTCTACCCCTTATAAACCCTGTTTGGTCGCAGTGAATGATTTTGTCTAGCACTCGCTCTAATCTGTCTGCTAATACTCTAGTTAATATTTTATAGTCACAGCAAAGCAAGCTCACTGGACGATAATGCAATGGGTCTTTATCCTTCTTGAGAAGCACTGAGATGGTCGCCTGTGTCATTGTTGGAGGAAGTGATTGGACCCTGAAGGCTTCGTCATAAACTTTACATAAGAAAGGGAGGAGTTTCAGAGAAAAGGCCATCCGGCCCTGGGGTTTTCGCACATTAACTAATATATTGAATGTATACAATATGTCGTCCGGCCCTAGTTCCAGTGTGAAGCACAGGGTGGGGCTGTCCTATCACTGGTGGTGGGCATTGTGTGTATTTCTGTCTTTCTTACTCTTTACTGTTTGGACTGCTGAGAGCTGCTGTCAGTTATCAAAAGACCTTTTCATGCTTTCCATATTTATTCAATTCATGTTTTCTTTCCTCCAGCTGCTACTTCTGGGGACTCTGATTCTGTCAGACTCAAGGAAACAAGGATTGTGCTGCTCGGTCTGCCTGGAGGAGGGAAAAGTTCATCATGAAACACCATCCTGGGATCAAATCAGTTTGAATCAGACTGTGGGTTTGAAGGAGACAACCCAGAGACTGTCTCTAGATCAGCAGAGGTGGCAGGTCGCTGGGTCATGGTGGTGGACACTCCAGGATTCACTGATGAGGTTCTGTCTCCTGAACAGCTGTACAAAGAAATCATGAAGTCGATCATAGAGGCCAGTCCAGGACCTCATGCCTTTGTCATTGTAGTGAAGATTGGCAAGTTGTCTAAAAAAGACTCTGCCCTCCTTCGGACACTGTCAAATCTGTTTGGCAGTGATGCTCCTAAATACGCCATTGTTGTTTTTACTCATGGAGATGAGCTAGGAGGTCAGTCCATTAATGAGAAGATTGAGTCCAGTCCCTCTGTCTCAAATCTGGTCTCCATGTGTGGTGGTAGATAGTGTTTTTGACAACAGAGGACAAAGAAGCAGATGACAATATGAATAAGATAGATGAGACTGTGACAGGTAATGGTGGACAGCACTTCACCTCTGACTTGTTTGCGATGGCTCAGACGTTCATTAATGAAGCTGTGAGAACGGAGCCAGGTCAGGAACCAAGAGAAACTGCACACCGACAAATACAGCCTTTTGTTACGAGGAGATGGAATCCAGTTTGTAGTTTGTTCACAGCATTCTGCTGCTGTTGTGCTAATGGATCAGAAGGTGAGACGCGGCCACTTTTGTCCAGTGATCAGGTTGCTTCAGAGGCCCGACTATCCACAGGGAAATCACACTATAAGGAACATCATCAATGAAGATGGAACAATGGACACGATGTCCACTGTGAGGTCTGACGTGCTGACGTGCTACGG